TGGCAAAATGTTTTGCAGAAACTGAAAGTAGACATTTTAAAGTAGCAAATATTTATTTGAAAAAAAGATGAAAAATGAAAAAAATGGGTTAGAAATACCTTAATACTAGTTTTCTTTGGCTTAATACTCGTTTGCTTCCAGTGGGCTCCCTGTGACTTAACGGTAAGCCTAAGGGCTTATCATACTAGAAATCTGGTTTAGATATCTGTGGTGGGCAGAGCAGAAGTAGCCAATTGTATAGCTTTGTGCTTAAAAATGAACACAGAAACACATCTAGCGGCTTTTTGCCGAAACAAATTTTCGGAGTTCATTTTCTACTGACGTGTTCAGTTAAAAGTGACCATCTTTATGTCATTAAAAAGAACACTAATTGGTTCTTGCCCGGTAAAAATATAAATTATGTGTAACCCTCATTTTACAATTAGATGCACTTCTTTTTCAACCTGAATGTTACTTTATACGCACGTGGGCTAAACGTCCAGCCAGAGACCCTTAGGTCCAACCAGAGACCACTAGGGCTCATCAGCCTGAATGCTACTTTATACGCACGTGGGTTAAACGTCTAATCAAAGACTTCTAGGGCTCAAGTAGAGCAGTTCCATATTTTGAACTACTGACCAGAGTAAAGACATCTAGTCAACAATACTCACCTTAGGAGACAATGTTTGAACCGAATAAAGAGACTGACTGCCACTTTTCTAACGCACCCAAAGCTGAAAATGCGGAGAATGTTCACAGGAATCACATCTTGAATCTCAGACCCTCAATCTACAGTTCGGCATGCTTAACACTAGGACACGTCCAACGAATAATAGATGTTCCTCTCGTCAGGGACGTTCTTATTGGCAAAATAAATGTTTATTTGTTTTATAATTTTGTTGCGAACTATACGTATACACCTCCCAGATTTTCAACTGATTGGGTAAACGTACAGCATTTAACATAGTTGTTGGGCTAATCCTCTCTATGACGGAATAGTGGGATGTTATTATCATTTAACATAGTTGTTGGGCTAATCCTCTCTATGACCGAATAGTGGGATTTTATTATCATTTAACATAGTTGTTGGGCTAATCCTCTCTATGACCGAATAGTGGGATGTTATTATCATTTAACATAGTTGTTGGGCTAATCCTCTCTATGACCGAATAGTGGGATGTTATTATCATTTAACATAGTTGTTGGGCTAATCCTCTCTATGACCGAATAGTGGGATTTTATTATCATTTAACATAGTTGTTGGGCTAATCCTCTCTATGACCGAATAGTGGGATTTTATTATCATTTAACATAGTTATTGGGCTAATCCTCTCTATGACCGAATAATGGGATTTTATTATCATTTAACATAGTTGTTGGGCTAATCCTCTCTATGACCGAATAGTGGGATGTTATTATCATTTAACATAGTTGTTGGGCTAATCCTCTCTACAACCGAATAGTGGGATTTTATTATCATTTAACATAGTTGTTGGGCTAATCCTCTCTATGCGAACCATAAGTTATTTATTTCATTGTTCGGGCACGCTAATCACTAGGCCTTGAAAATACAGACATTGCTGACAATTTCGTAACTTGTGTTTCTGAATCTCTGGGAATTTACTCACGAAACTGAATCCCTGTAAAAAGGGGCACCAGTAGTATTTGTTTGTTTGTTTTAGAGCAACACCACGTTGGGCTATCAGCTGTGTCCATCGCGAGTAATCGAACCCCAAATATTAGCGTTACAAGTCTGTAGACTTACCGCTGTCCTACCAAGGAACCACCAGTAATAATGAAAATGGCACAGTTTCTTTCCACAAGGAAAGAAGAAATACATTAAAAATGTGTGTTTTTGTGTTTTCCGTAAGCCTAATTTGAGATTCAATTATTTATCAGTGTGACTATCATCGATATTGTCCTTACTGTGCAGCTTTTTTCCCCCACTTTTGTTTAGTACCGGTTCCATAATTACCAGACACACATGACTTGAAAATATTATATGACGTAGGACACCTGGTGTCTGTTATAGATTGATAATATGTACATGGAACTTGTTATAATGCTATCATTGGTGTTTTAAAACTCGTGAATGTTGATGAACATTACTTTGGAGTTAAAGAGTCGAGCGTGGCTCAATGGGCAGTGTGCTGGTCTGTGAATCCGAGGTTCCGTGGTTTGTGCTGTTTAGTCAAATATTTATTCAGTAATTTACCCATAAAAATCCCATTAGTTAACGTGCCTGATTGTTGACTTAGGGTTCCGGGTTCGTGTCCGATTACCGCCACACACACACACACACACAAACACAAACACAGAAAAAGAATGCGCTCGTTACTTTGAGGCCGTGGGTGCATTATAAAAGTGAGGGTCAAATCTCACTATTCGATTAGAGTAGTCCATGAACTGGCGGTTGGTGGTGTTGACTATCTGCCTTCCTTCGAATTTATCTCTTCAAAATTGAAGATAGCTAGCGCAGATAGCCCTCGACTGGCGTGGTGCGAAATAAAAACAAACCAATCCATTTAATACTGTTTTACGTCCACTTAGTGTGTGCTGAAATATAGTAGTTTAATACTGTTTGACGTCCACTTAGTGTGTGCTGAAATATAGTAGTTTAATACTGTTTTATGTCCATTTAGCGCACACACTAAGTGGACATAAAACAGTATTAAACTACTATATTTCAGCACACTGAAATATAGTAGTTTAATACTGTTTTAC